TTTCAAGCAGTTCCCTCGGTAATGTGATATCATGCAGATTCCTCAACAGCATCAATCCACGCTGCTCCCTGGACAGCGTCACTCCAGGTCTCACTTTCGAATGTCATTCCATGCTGTCATTCCATGCTGTCATTCCATGCTGTCATTCCATGCTGTCATTCCATGCTGTCATTCCATGCTGTCATTCCATGCTGTCATTCCATGCTGTCATTCCATGCTGTCATTCCATGCTGTCATTCCATGCTGGCAATCCATGCTGGCAATCCATGCAGCGCCCTCTTCAATTCCTCCTCTGGACCAACCAGCTTCAGACTCAGCCTTCTCAGCCTCGGCAGCAAGGAGACGTCCAGCAGGTCACTGATGTGGTAACTAATTCCCAGGCTTAACACCTCGAGAGAGAGCGGCAGAAACATTGGAGGCTCTATCTGATGCAGGCATCCAGTCAGCTCCAGCCGCTGAGCTTCCCGAGGCTCTCTAATCCCCTTGGCACAGACAAGGGCTCAGGACAATCATCAACTAGGAGCATTTCCAGGCTCGTGAGGCTTGTCACAGACTCTGGAAGCTTCTGGATTAGGGGACAGGAACGGATGTGGAATTTCCGCAGGTTAGTCAGAATCCCAAGGTCGTCTGGAAGCTTCTGAATCATGCATCTGTGGAGCTTGAGCCGTGTGAGAGATGAGAGCCGGGTGAAAGAAGACGGCAGCTGCGGATGTGGGTAAAACTTGTTCAGAAACATGGTGTGCAATCTGGGCAGCTCTCCAAAATTTTCTGGGATCCTCAAACGAGGCATACGCGCGATGCAGAGGGTGTGTAGAGCAGAGAGGCAGCAGAAGCGGGCTGGAAACTGGAGGGTTTCGTCGTTGTTGCTGCTGCATTGTATCAGGCAGGATGTCTCAAGGGAGGGCAGCTGACAGAGGGAGTCAGGGAGGTGAGAAAGACCGAACCGATTCAGGACCAATGTTTTCAACGCCAGCAGGCCTCCGAACTTTCTTGGCAAGCTGGAAAGCCTGGCACATTCAGAAAGCGTCAAGCGTTGTAGGAGTCGTAGAGAAGTGAAAGGGAAAGAAGGCACCTGCCGAGGATCCGGAAGAGAAGCATGAAAATTGAGAAAATGTCAGCTCACGGAGGCACGGCAGGAAATCTCCAAACTCACTCGAAAGAATCTCTAGTTGGCGTCCTAAGGATCTCCAGCCTTTCGATGTTAGCACACGGAGATGCTAAAGGCAGGCGTAGACCGACTCTTAACGACTTGAGCAGAGGAAGCTGCGAGAGGTCGAATTCAGCAGAGGCGGGATCTTTCCTGCGAACACCCTGATTGTCGGAAATTGAAAGGGAGGTGATGCTTGGGAGACGAACAAGGTTGAGAATCTGCTCATAAGTCACACTCCGCGAGAAAATATCAAGGTTGTTTAGGGATATCAGGTTCGGAAGATCGGGTGAGTCGAGAAAGGTGGAGATTGAGAGCGCGAGAGTATGCAGACGAGTCAGCTGAAAGAAGGAAGCGGGTAATTCAGCATCTGGATAAAGGCAGTACAGAGAAAGTTGTTCCAGGCGAGTGCACTGCCGGAAAAAAAACATCCAAACCCGCTTCTGTGATTGGGTGCTCGTGCTTCCTCGAGTCGCGCGAAGAACTATGTTTGATCTCCGGCACGATTTTGCTTCCTACGTGGAACACCGCCAGCTTAGGGCATGGGGAGCGAGGTGCGCCAGGAACGCATCGTCTAGGGTTTCCACGCTGCCGTCGCACAGACGCAGATGGGTCAGGTTCGGAAAGGAATCGACAGCATTCGCGAGATCTTGGCGAGAAACGGCAAGATTGTCGGCAACAAGGAGTGTGGAGACGTATCGCTGGGAAAGATTCGCCAGCGACGACAGACGGACGAAATTAGGAAAATCCGGTGAGCGCTTGCATAAGGAGGAGGAGTCGGTAGTGGCATAAATTTTCTGATACGAATGGGCTCGACTGGAAGGTTAGCAAAAAACTACTTGGGGGTCGGGCGTAAAGAACGAAGTCCCATAAGGCTTCGGTGTCCGACTTCGTAGACACAGGCTGCTCAGAGTGCCATAAGATCCTTGTGAGAATGTCGTCAGGAAGGTCATAAATGGGTGTACCTGATAGTAAGGAAATAGCGGTGGCGAGTTGCTGTGAAATGAGGATTGAAGCATCTACCATGAGAGAAACCAGTAAAGGAACGGAATGAACATGAGAAGGTGAATCAAGCCGATAATCACGTAACCCTGCGACTGCGTTCTGTTGCTCGAGGCCGGATCTGGTCTGAATCTGAAACGCGTTCCACAAGAGGCAGGTTTCACAAGACGCGAGACCCAGATGTCATTTAGCCTGCTGGTGTGTTTCGTCCAGTCCCTTCATGTGACACAATGTCATTAAAACATGTTGAGAGCACGCCCTTTCGAGCTCAACCCGTCCAGCCCGAAATCCAGTCGGCTGGCTCAGCTGGGGTTTGGTTTTTGGGTTGCGTAGCAACCTTATACATTCGTTTTCACTTTTCGGTCGACTGACGTGAACAGTGATTTTCCTCCAAAATTGGAAAAAAAATATCACTGTTCATGCAAGTTACCCGAAAACTGGAAACAAATGTGTCCAATCATTCCATTATCGTCGATAAGTACGGCGAATGGAACAATTGGACAATCACTTCGCACAAATGGCGAACTAGTACGGAAAAAATGGGACAACCAACAATACCGTATGTGAATATTTTGAAGTGATTACTAGAATGCATCAATGTTGCAACAGGGGTTGATATGGCACGGAAGAGACGAGTAAAGTTGCCCCACCGGCGATCACAACCCACGTTGCATACACGAGGCACTTAGCATCACACCCCAAAACAGGCACAAACGACAGCACACTAACTTGTACAAAAACGAGGGACACAAGTTGTGAATGCTTCGAAGCTAATGCTAATATGCATCGTTGATGCAACTGCGATTGATCCGGTATGGAAGAGGCAAGCAAAGCTGCCCCACCAACGATCACAACCTCAATTGCATACACGAGGCACTTAACACTCACCCCGAAACAGACACAAACAACACTACATACATGCACGCACAGACACATACTACAAGCTCACACATACGCAGACACAAAAAAGCGCAGAAACATACAGCTAATATCAAGCATGCAAGCACAGCCAATGAAGTTCACCAATTAATGAACCATCGCTAACTTGTCCCCAATTCCCCTCCCTCCCCCACTCCCTGTTCTCCCTGATCTCCCCACCATCCCTTTTTTCTACACAAGAAACAATGTTTGCAGCTTGAACCTCCTGCACAAGAAAGAAAAAACAGCAATTGCAGCTCTCACTCCCTGCACACAGTGACACACAAGCAAACAAGCACAGATTCATACAAATACCGTAATAAACACACAACCATCACGAATGAAATTCAGAAGTGCATAAATCACTGCTAGCGTATCTCCCTTTACCCTCCCTACATCCCTCCGTCCCTCCTTCCCTCATCTCCCTCCCACTCCCTCCCTCATCTCCCTTCTCAGCTCACACGCCCTGCACAAAGCGAAAACAGAGAAGTTCACACACACGCCCTGCACAAAGCAAAACAACAGAGAAATCAACACACATACGCCCTCTCACGCGCTCTCTCACGCGCTCCCTCATGCGCACTCTCAGGCACACTCTCACTGCTCTCTCTCCCACGCTCTCTCACGCATTCTCTCACGCGCTCTCTGACGCACTCCCTCACGCGCTCCCTCACGCGCTCTCTCACGCGCTCTCTCACGTGCTCCCTCACGCGCTCTCTCACGCGCTCTCGCATGCGCACCCTCACGCACACTCTCAGGCACACTCTCACGCGCTCTCTCTCACGCTCTCCCTCTCTCGCACTCTCTCGCGCATTCTCTCTCTCACGCACAATCTCACGCGCTCCCTCACGCGCACTCTCAGGTACACTCTCACGCGCTCTCTCACGCTCTCTCTCTCTCTCGCACTCTCACGTGCATTCTCTCTCTCACGCGCTCCCTAACGCGCTCCCTCACGCGCTCCCTCACGCGCTCCCTCACGCGCTCCCTCACGCGCTCCCTCACGCGCTCCCTCACGCGCTCCCTCACGCGCTCCCTCACGCGCTCCCTCACGCGCTCCCTCACGCGCTCCCTCACGCGCTCCCTCTCCCTCTCCCTCTCCCTCTCCCCCTCCCTCTCCCCCTCCCCCTCCCCCCTCCCCCCCCCCCCCCCCCCTCCCCCTCCCCCTCCCCCTCCCCCCCCCCCCCACCCTCACGCGCACTCTCAGGCACACTCTCACACGCTCTCTCCCGTGCTCTCTCTCTCTCTCTCGCACTCTCACGCGCATTCTCTCTCTCACGCGCACTCTCACGCGCTCTCACGCGCTCACTCACACGCTCTCTTACGCGCTCCCTCACGCGCTCTCTCACGCGCACTCTCACACGCGCTCTCACGCGCACTCTCACGGGCACTCTCACTCGCACTCTCACGCACACTCTCCCGAGTTATCTCACGCGCTCTCTCACGCGCTCTCTCACGCGCTCCCTCACGCGCACTCTCAGACACACTCTCACGCGCTCTCTCTCACGCTCTCTCACGCGTTCTCTCGCGCGCTCTCTGACGCACTCCCTCACGCGCTCCCTTACGCGCTCTCTTGCGCGCTCTCTCACGCACTCCTTCACGCGCTCTCTCACGCGCTCTCTCACGCGCTCTCTCACGCGCACCCTCACGCGCACTCTCAGGCACACTCTCACGTGCTCTCTCTCGCGCTCTCTCTCTCGCACTCTCACGCGCATTCCCTCTCTCACGCGCTCTCTCATGCGCTCTCTCATGCGCACCCTCACGCGCTCTCTCGCGCGCTCCGTCTCTCCCCTTTTTCAAATGAAAGTGCCATGCAAGAGGAAACCAACACACAAAATTTAGGAAAAAAAACAAAAAACAAAAAAAAGGAGAGGAAATTTCAGAGAGGGGGGGGGAGGATGAAAGGACCGGGAACGCACTTGATAACCACGGTGTCTCAGGAAACAACCCACGCTCGCGCACCAACCCGCGCTCGCGCACCAACCCGCGCTTGCGCACCAACCCGCGATTGCGCACCAAACCGCGATTGCGCACCAATCCGCGCTTGCGCTCCGGGCACCTGGCGGGGAGGAGGGAGGGCAACGGCGGGGACGAGGGAGGGCGATGGCGGGGAGGAGGAAGAGGCGACGGGGGGGAGGAGGAAGAGGCGACGGCGGGGAGGAGGGAGAGGCGACGACGGGGAGGAGGGAGAGGCGACGGCGGGGAGGAGGAAGAGGCGACGACGGGGAGGAGGGAGAGGCGACGGCGGGGAGGAGGGAGAGGCGACGGCGGGGAGGAGAGAGAGCGACGGCGGGAAGGAGGAAGAGGCGACGGCGGGGAGGAGGAAGAGGCGACGGCGAGGAGGAGGGAGAGGCGAGGGCGGGGAGGAGGGAGAGGCGACGGCGGGGAGGAGGGAGAGGCGACGGCGGGGAGGTAAAGGAGAGGAGATGGCGGGGTGAGACGGAGTGATTGTGAGGTAGGAGGAAGAGGCGATGGCGGAGTGGGAGGGAGAGGTGACGGCGAAAAGTGAGGAAGAGGATACGGGAATGGGAGGGAGAGCGACGGCTGGGTGGGAGGTGCTAGCGACGGCGGGGTGGGAGGAGAAATAGCTAGAGAAGAAATTGGGGTGGGTAGGAAAAGTAGCGAGCAAAGCAGCTGCTTCTCAGGAGGAACCAAGAACAGAACCAAGAACAGAATCAAGAATGAAGAGCGTCGAATTCGAGTTTGACAGCTGTGAAAGGGACGGATACCTTGTGCCAGCGCAGAATGAGGCACCAAAACTTGTATTTATTCATAGAAGTATGAGCACAAGAGCACAAGCACAAAACCTGAGCACTTGGCAATACTAAAAGAAAACGCTCACACTAGACTTCGAAGCTAGTGTCACGTGGAAAAATATGCGTGCCACGCCATCCAACTAGCTGACACATCTGATACGGTACAGTAGTTGCAAACATAAAAACCCGCTATGGTAACCTGATAGAACAATAGCATATGCTATAGGTAAAAACAATTCAAATATATTTCAATCACAAAAAAATGTACCATGTCAATTAACACTCAAACAATTTTGAGGGAAGAAAGATCTAGAAAATATACGTTCTTCCATAATAAGGGACTATCGAGCTTGTTCCAAGTTTAGTAATTAGGAAGATCTTGGTAAATTGCTTCTATAAGTATAATATATCTATAATAATGTTTCTTACATAGGGAATACAACTCTACGCAACCCTTCCGACGTAAACGTCGAGTCTTGTTGTGAGATTTCCTTGGAGAACTGGTGGTCTGTGATAGGCATGATATACTCGAAAGCAGGGAAACACGTCAGCCATTTACCCTAGCTTTGACAGTGCAGAAATCCTCATTGAGATTGGCAACTCCTCCAGCAACGCCAGCACGACGCCTAACTTCGTCACTCGCCTTACCTCCAGCCCGCAGGTCAGCGTGGGTGGTGCCGTGATCCGTGTTTCTAGTCTTTCTTAGGAGAGAATTAGGAGCTGCGATACTGAGATCTGAATATTAACGGCTTTCCTATATCTCCTTGGTCATTTAGCTCGAGCATTGAGGTCTTGGTTTCATACCTTCGCTGGTTCTTGCGGTAAATTCTTGGGAGTTTAGATGGAGCGTCTCTCACACATCGATCGACTTTCAGATGATCTTCTTACGAGGATTTTGTGGTTCCAAACTAGTACTAATTCTTCACGGGACTCGCTTCCTGAATCAAGGGCGTTCGAATCCACTCCTCCAGCCTTCGCAGATGCAGCGTACAATCTGCTCGTCGCGTCCGTATGCAGTCGTTGGCGTCATCTCGCTAAGCGTCAGGTCACTAGTCTCTCAGTTCAAGAAAACCGTTACGTCTCTCGTCAACATCTGGCGATCGCAGTGGCGTTTTTCGACAACCTCACGAATCTTCATCTGAGCGACGGCAGTGTCGAGATGATTGACAATGCTTTCCTCGCTCACCTTGCTTCGTCACGGCCTAAGCTAAAAGCTCTTCACTTGGGTCGCAGGATCACACCGAAGAGGTGTGGAGACAAGGATAAGCACCCGGTTACTGAAGCTGGCCTGGTAAACTTCTTTCTGAAGTGCACCCAGCTGGAGGAGATTTCGCTTTACTGCCTCCATAAAGATACAGACTTGCCGGATTCTTTCTTCCAACTGCAGCATCTCCACACGGTTTCTCTAACTAAAGTTTCAGCCTTGGCACTTTCCAGATTTTCAAGACTTCCATCTCTCACTTCTCTACATATTGCTCTCAGGAAGCCGTCACAACAGCAACTGTCAGGCTTTGCTCGCATCCCAAGACTCTCCAAACTTTCTCTTACCTTTGGAGGTTACTTTTTCACGGATGATTCACCAATTCCAACTTTCACTGCTGCTCAGCTGCCTTATCTGAAGACACTCGAGTTCCAGTTCTCTAGTCCTGATTTCACTTCGATGTTCCCTACAGGATCACCATGCATCCGTTTACAACAGCTGGTGATTACGCATTCCTTTAACCTCCAACGCCTTCCTGATGACATCGGAGAGCTGTTGCCGTGCCTACGCGAGCTGACCATTCGGAACTGCGATCATTTCAACCAACTCCCTGAGAGCATCACTTCCCTAACTGCATTGGAGAGCTTGTCCGTCATTTATTCCGGCCGGTTTGAGAGCCTGCCCAAGGACATTGGACAGCTGCCTGCTCTCAAGTCATTGGTGCTGGAGAATATCCCTTTCTCGGAGCTACCTGACTCTCTCTGGCAGGCTACATCACTGGAGAGGCTAGTGCTGCATCACAGCGGTTATGGAATCTGCAAGGTGCCAGCAGAATCTTGCAACCTTATGTCTCTCAAGATTCTAAGCCTCAAGAATTATAGATTAAGGGCGCTTTCAAAGAGGATCGGATTGCTCACCAAGTCTCTCACAAGTCTTACGATCGTCTCTGGCTCAGTTTCAATGCTTTCTGGGCGTCTGGAGAATATGACTAACCTGCAGCATCTCTGCATTTGCCACTGTCGGTCGGTTAGGGAAATTCCTGAGTCTATAACAGGGCTCACTAGCCTTGTATCCTTGATCATAGATAGTTGTAATGAGCTCACTTCGATGCCAAAGAGGCTGGGTAGCCTTTGCAAGCTCCAGCGGTTGGAGGTAACTGGGTGTGGTCGGCTGCGTGGCCTTCCTGTGTCGTTGCCGCTCTCCCTTGAGGTCCTGCTTTGGAAGCAGAACAGTCAGATTGGTTTCCTGCCTGAGGTTTCCTTGCCATCTCGTCTGAGGCACTTGGAGCTGGATTTGGTGGACAGAATTGAGGAGATCCCACTCGCCTTGGGTTCAAATCCTGAACTCCATGTGTTGAGTATTCGGCGTGATGGAATGCTTCGGCGTGGTACAAGGATCAAGGCCTTCCCACAAATCATCAAGGTGCCATTCCAGCAGCTGCGGCAACTGCACCTCTTTTGCATCGAGGAGTTCCAGAATCTGCCCGAAACAGTTTCACAGCTGCAACAACTGACCTCACTAAGGGTTCAGGCGCCCAAGCTGACCTCTATCCCCGATGGCATCGGGGCATTATCCAGGTTGCGTGAGCTGGATTTGTCAGAATGTACAGCCCTGCAGCAGCTACCACCTTCCTTGACCCGGCTTCATTGCCTCGGCATGCTTAGACTTGACAAAACTTCCATCAGCTTCCTTCCTTCCAGGATTTCTCAGCTGACCAGGCTGCGGACACTCAGCCTTTCTCACTGTGAGCTATTGGAGGCCTTGCCAGAGGATTTGACCGAGCTGAAGCTGCTGCAAGAGTTGAATGTTGAAGGGTGCAAGCAAGCGTTGCGCTGTGGCATTCGGAACATGTATGGGCTGGAGTTCATATCTTAGCAATTTAGTGTGGCAGCAATTTAGTGTGGTAGTTGAGCATTGCACTACATTGGTTCATGTAGCCCTGCCTTTTGTTGTGTAATTCTGTTGTGTAAGCTGTTTTACCGTATGAATGTTTTGATATACCAGAATGGCCATGTCACATGGCACATGATCCCATGGTGGTGCAATTCGGTTGTTACCAGCCTTTTGACTGACGCACCATGGTGAGCCAGCATGATACACGTGCAAATGCACGCATGCATGGGTAATGTATAGATGGTCAGATATGGGTGGCGATGTAAGGATGGTTTGAATGGACTCTCATGGTTGCATCCCTATGGGCTAATGGTTATGCATGCATTGTCATGGGCTGATGGTGATCATGCATGCATTGTCATGGGCTGATGGTGATCATGCATGCATTGCCATGGGCTGATTATGGTCACGCATGCAGTGCCATGGGCTGATGATAATGAATGGATGGCCATGTAAGCACTGCCCTGTGGTAGCCATCATGTATGGATTGCGATGTGCTGATGTGCAGCATCGTCCACGCATGCATAACAATATTCATGCATGGATGATGCTACATAGTTAATCAGGCTGGGCTTGTTGTCGCTGGAATGGGAATGGGTGTTGATGGGGGTAGGGCTGAAACATAAATAAAAGATATCAGGTAAAGGGTGATAAAATTGGTTCATAGTACTACTTCGTCTAGTAAGATTTGTTTTTGTTGTGCTGGTGTTATTATTTTGCAGGAGTGCTATCACCTCCTGCTGTCTGGTATGCTCTTCCATGCCATATCATGTACCCCGTCACCCACCTGCCCAAGGCTGCTGTGCAAATGAGTGCTCAGTGCAGCTCAGTATGTAAGCAAGGTCTCTGAGTTCCTGCACCTCCTGCTTCCTGCCTGCTCTTCTCTGCCATATCGTGTTTCAATTCACCCACCTGTCCAAGGCTGCTGTGCAGGCGAGTGCTCAGTGCAGCTCAGTATGTAATCGATTAATTCAAAAAGCAGCGAGCTCTCTATTATTACTCTCAATAGTGCTGGTAATTCATGCTATTTTGCAGCTGCAATTTCATACTCATCATGCTCATCATATTCATTTTCATAAGCTGAATCATTATTTTCCAACTCATCTTGTCAATGTCCCCATATTCCCTCTCCCAGGTCCGCTCATTGCGTCCCTTCACACCAAGACATAACATGAAAGTACGACTGTTCCATCCCACCTCACTCCCATCTTGGGAATCAATTAATGAGATGGGCATGCAAGTTCTCACCTCCCTCATGGGCCTCCTGGCTACACTGGCTTCTGCACTGGTTTCTGCTCCACTCTCTACTCCTCTCTGGTGCAACAAAGCAATATGGGAAATCTTTGTGGTGCTGCATATTGGAGGCTGATAGGAATTTTAGATTGCAACACAGCAGTTTTTACTGGGTATATGGATGAATAACAGCAGCAGCCGAACAGGAAGTTGGGTAAAGTCTGCAACCAATGAAGGTGAGTTGCTGGAGTGTACAGTGAGACACTCTCATTTGTACATTTTATTTCGTCGCCTCACATATAGGTGAGTGGCGTGGGCTGTGGGGGTGGGTGGGGTGAATGGGGTGAGTGGGGTGAATGGGGTGAGTGGGGTGAGTGGGGTGAGTGGGGTGAATGGGGTGAGTGGGGTGAGTGGGGTGAATGGGGTGAGTGGGGCGAGTGGGGTGAATGGGGTGAGTGGGGTGAGTGGGGTGAATGGGGTGAGTGGGGTGAGTGGGGTGAATGGGGTGAGTGGGGTGAGTGGGGTGAATGGGGTGAGTGGGCTGCGTGGGAGAGTGGTGTGAGTGGCTGCACCTTACAGGAAAAAATGTTAAATTGTGTTGATCAATATTCCGAAATTGAACACTTAGCACTACTAATATTGCTATTACTGTTATTATTGTTATTTTTTGTTCGTTCGAAAGTGCTCCCACCTCCTCCTGGCTGGTATGCTCTGCCATGTTGTCACCCCTCACCTACCAGTCTAAGGCTGCTGTGGAGGTGAGTGCTCAGCACAGCTCAGTAGGTTAGCAGGGTTTTAAGTTCCTGCACCTCCTGCTTCCTGCCTGCTCAGCTCTGCCCTGTGCCCTGCTGTGTTGTGTCCCCCCTCACCCACCTGTCCAAGGCCGCTGTGCGGGTGAGTGCTTACTGCAGCTCAGTAGGTAAGTAATGCGTGAGATGGGGATGCATGTTATGGGGATGCGTGAGATGGGGATGCATGATTTGGAAACGCAACAGTAATCTGCAC